TGCTGAAGTTCTGGGGGTGCCTGTGTGGATCACGGAAATGTACACGGTAAAACGTCAGAGTGAATTTAATCTTCAACTACTGCTGGCTTTAAACATGAAATGCTTCAGAACAGATTGTACTTATATATAGCATATATGCATCTTCAATGTAGATACAAGCTGCAACACAGTCAGTTCTTATACTGGAAATCAGATAACGTTGTATTTACACCCAACAATGTTTCATGAAACTCACAGACCAAAAGTATCAATAAGCACTGAATATTTGCATATATGTGCATTTACATAACTTTAAATTTCATATTTCTGTTCTATTAACACATTCAAGTAGATATACCATTACTCATTGTTCAGGGTAAGACCTGCACCACAGGACAAGCAGTCGGAAGATAGATGGAGAGCTCGCACTGCTATGTTGAGAAGATATTTACTAAAACGATGAAATGAAAGTCAGTCATTGTCACTGAAGCAAACAAGGGTTTCTGTTACTTGTTGGTAGTTGGTAAGGGCTGTACACCAGCATTACTCACTGCTATTAGGTGAAGGCTCCATTCCTTTGTTATTCACTGCTTTTAAAATCTATTAAATGCCATCCCCTCTGGCCTAGAAGGAATAATTAGACTGATGGATGGGTCAATTTAATTATTCCTGAAAATAATATTCAATTATCTACTTCGCAACTCTCTGAACCTTGTGCCTATTTATAGGGCTGAAGTCCCACACGACTGGATTTTATCTATCTTTTCCTGCATAACCAGATTAATTTCTCCCTAAAACACTGCCTATTAATGCAAACATCACTTGGAGAAAAAAACAACGACTCCCCCACCCATACTCTCCTAGATTTATTTTTGTTTTTCACTGTTAACATAAATCTGCCATAGTGTGGTAATCTGAGTCATGACAACCATTTTCCATTGCCAAACATGTCCCAGAAAATAAGAAAAATATGCCACTGCCATATGATCTATTTTAGCTCAAAGTTTCTTTGGAACCCAGGAAAATCACAAGGTGGATAATACGTGTGGGCGTGTTCCCTTTTATTTTAACAACAAAGTGTGGCTGTAATAAAACAGGCGGCAGAATTCTCAAGGGTTGGTAACTGACCATGATAATTCCAAGTGAATTGAACATTGTGTCAACTGCTGATTCAGATCTTTCTGGATATCTAATATAACCAAAACAGCTGACCGTAATTTTATGGTACAGTATAATCAGAAATTAGGAATCTCAGAATCGTACGATTAAATCCTGGGTCAGGCATTAGTCTTGTACGCTTGGGTTTCAGTGAGTGAGTTGTAGGACTTGTGCTATGTAAATGATGTGCAAACAAAGTGCACATGTGATCATTTGGCACTTAATACATTTTATGTTTAAATTTTAATTGTATTTTTGTTTGATAATTAAAAACCAGTTGTTTAAAATTAGAAAAAAGTAAAAAGATGACGTTACATTTTCAGTGGCCCAGATTTGTTTTATTACTGTTCTTATTAGTCTACTAGACAACGTTTAAATTAATTAGATGTTCTGAGTATTTTACAGATTCGCGAGCATTAATTTACTGACTTTGGATGTTTGGTTTTACCTTGATTTGAAGCAAAAGTTCTTAAAGTTATATGTTACTAGATTCTTATAAACTTGATAGAATATTAATGTTGTGCCAGCAAACCCCATAATGTCTGTCATCCAACCCTAGGTTGGTGTCTTGCCTTGCGGGACGAAAGACTGGACAAACATGTAAGCAAAACAGGAAAGGGATTCATTGAACTAAATGAAGAGGGATGGCAAACAAACTGGTTCATGAGGGATCAAAAACAGAATGACTAGAAATTAGGAAGGGCACAGGCAAGAGGAAGGTATGACATCAATCACTGGACTGGGGAGACTGGGAAGCACGTATATCCTGGACTAACAAGGGAGCTAACAAGAGGCAGCTGAGAGTGATTAACATAAGGGTTAGGAACAGGAGGCAAGACAGACATGTAACACGCCAGACAGAAGGGTAAGGTGGACATGACAAGCAAGACATGACAGTTGGGGTTGGTTGGCACAAGTGCACAGTTTTTTATAAATGAATGGACTATTTCCAGTAATTGATTTCTGTAATCTAGTGCAGGGGTGTCAAACTCCAGTCCTGGAGGGCCGGAGCCCTGTGTAGCTTAGTTCTTTTCCTGTTCCACCACAAATAATTCAGCTCAAGAGCTGTATGGTAATTAGCACAAGGAGTTGAATCAGGTGTGTTAAACGAGGGTAAACCAAAAACTGTGCAGGGCTCCGGCCCCCCAGGACTGGAGTTTGACACCCCTGATCTAGTGTGTCTGATTTTGAGATATACAGCATTAAATGAAAACTTGCTACCGACCAGCCCATTCTCCCTGAAACCAGAAGTATCACGGTTTCAAAATAAGCAGTATCTGTGAACAGCTGCAATATCTCAAGAATGACTCTTCAAGAACATTATAAATACAAATTTTTTAAAAATAATAATTAAACAACTGTATAATGAAAAACACAGCCAGTGTTCCAGGAAGCGGGATAAAGCAGTGTTTTGAAGACAATAGAGAAGTCATCGCTTGTCCTGTAGGATTAGCACTTTGAAGTTGGATTTCTGCGACAGTACACGAGCCCCTTAAGAGAGACACAGCAATACGGCAAATCGTGGCTGCATTCAGCTCACGCTGGGAATGCGTCTCGGGCACGCCCGGCACCGGCTTGCGTGCTCCGTCCTGACTCATCTTTCGATACCCGCACCTCTCAGTCAGGGGCACCAGGCTGCCACGTGACGGCTGCTTGTCACACTGTTTGCCCCGCTAGCCTACCGTCCTTCTCTACCTAAGAAGTGGAGATCCGTTTGCATCCAGATGAGCGTCCGTGCAATTTCACCGAGGATTAAAGCGAAGTGATTCTCATAGTGGCTTCTTCCAGTTCTAAACTCTTATGCTATGAGCTAGTGTTTCCCAACCCAATCCTTGGGGATCCCCAGAAAGTCCACATTTTTGCTCCTTCCCAGCTGCCAACACACCTGTACCAGATATTCAGTGTTCCTGATGGTTTTGTACAGGTGTGTTGGTACTTGGGCAGGACCCAAAATGTGGACTGTCTTGGGTCCCTAAGGACTGGTTTGGAAAACACTGCTATAGACATTCCAGCTACCCGAACGACTCTCACCCATGATCAGTGTCTTCAGTAAGAGAGACGCCACTAGTCTGATACTCACACCCAAAACCCTCTGATGTCTGATGTAAATATACCTCACAGCCCCACTTAAGGTCGAGTGTCCGGGCCAGTCCCCAGACCCAGTACTCCCAGGACCCTCTGAGGGTCCCCCGGACCATGCGTCCCTATTCCACACTCAGCCTTCCCCCATCTTCCCAACACTTTTTCGCATCATGCCCTTACTGGTTTTAAGACGACACCCAGTACCCAGCTGGTGCTCAGCCCCCTCGGTAAACCGTGCTGACCAGGGGTGGCAAATTTATTGTGATTGTCAGTGATCGCTAAAACTGCCAACTGTAGAGGGGAGGCTCCTCTATGTAAATTTAATGGGATCACTGCTGATCGGTAAGTTTGGCATGTCTCCTCTGTATGTTTTTCTGGCTGGGGAGGGCAGTTATCCTCAGTAAATTTTGCGTGATCATCTATGATCAAAAAGGGCCACTCAGAAAGGGGGGAAATTTTTCGGACAAAAGGGGCAAGTGCTCAGGAACCCTCAGAACCCCCCCCCCCCCTCCTGTGCTGCCACAAAACACTCATCACACCTCCCTTGGCATCACCCCACTCATCACTACTGCGGCAGTTAAGCTGACACTTTGTGTATGCCATCACACCACAAAATGAGCCTCCAATGTTCATTTACAATAAATTTATAATAAATGCTCCTTAGAGGAGTACCTGTATGTGCTCTGTCCAGCCTGCTTCCATTTTATCAAATTATTGTCCAATCTACACACTTACAGTTTATATCAACATCAGCCAATCAATTCGTTTGTCAGATTTTTTTTATGTCATTCCGCTAATCACAGCTCTAGCTAATCAACAGCAGACCGATTGCTGGAGGATTTGAAGAAGATATTTGCTCAGTAAACAACATGGTAATAAACGTAGCATCGTAAGGCAGACTAATAGTAGTTTTCCCATGTTATATATGACATGGCGCCCTCTAGTGGCGCACTCTAAGGTGCTCAGATTTTAGCAAGGTGTTTTTTTAATCGAACTTTTTCTTATATTAAATTGGTGTGATACATATGAATCTAAAGCACATCTGCTGAAACAGAGAGAAAAGAACGGCACGACCAGTCATGTGACCTGCTACTGTAGCAGAGTGGAATTGCGTAGTCAACTACACCTAAAGCTGTTTGTTCCGTACTATGAATATTTTCCTTTTATATATTTGTTATTATGTGTCCTATGATGACTTAAGCAGTAGATTTGGACAGTGAAGTTTTGAGGAGAGAATACCTGTGATGCAAAAGTGGCATATGCAGGACAAAGATCTTCACATGCACAACAGGATGTTATTTAAAAGCTAAACGCATCACTTCGTATTTTAGAAATTCCGCTGGCTGTGTTATAATATTGCAAATTCTACATGTTACTGACAGGGTCGCTGGTAACGGTTGCTATGAAATTGAGGTTACTGGGTCTTCATTTCTAGTGCATATGCGCATTGCATTTTATTTATAACCACGCCATACATAACAGAACGAAATGCGTAAGGCATATAAATGCATATTTCGCAAAACTTGTTTTCTAAAGAAACATGTCTCTCCCTATCCTGTCACTTGAGGAAAAAAAACAATGTGAGAGTGACTCCGAGTCCTTTGATTTCTGAATCTGTGCCCCCCTGCGTCTGTCTCCCTCGCCCTCTCTCTCTCTCTCTCTCTCTCTCTCCCTCTCTCTCCCCCAGCAGAGCGATCGTCGGTGATTGGCTGTCCCGGGCATCGGAGGCCGGAGGCTGGCGTTTCTGTGCGGCGCTCATCCCCGTGTCCGTGTTTACACCTCAAGCATTACTGGAACGGAAAAACGCGGATGCAGAGGATGAGGACACGGAGATAGCAGTTGTGGACAGTGGATAGATAAGCCACTTGTGCTGTGCCGGACTGCAACCGATTCTACCCAGTTTTCTGCTGGGTAGAAAAAAAGGATTCTACTTTTTTACCATTTAGTTTTATTTTACAAGTGTTAATTGTATGAGGCTTTTCCTCTTAAAGAATATATGGATCAGTGGACTGGACGCGGTGAAAAACCAAACTTTTCCTGATTCGTCTGGGTCGATATGGTTTGTTAATTCATACTTGGGTGGAGTTGATACAGAAGGTCGCTGTCGCGTAAAGAAGTTGGTGGTGTTTTTCATGAATCGAATTACTGGACTGTGCCTCTTTTTAATTTGTTGACTGTCTTTGGGAACTTACAATTCAATCCAGATCATCTGTCCCTATTTATAAATGAAAAAATCCGTGTGTGTCTATACATTTAAATAGTTTTTTGGCTTAATTGGTTTCTAGTTGCTTGCCATTTAATTTAAAATACCAAAATAATACCTTGTCATACATGGTGCCGGAAAAGTTTCGTTTTTGAAAAATAGATCGTTACCATCAAACGATAAATCCAACGCGCAGAAGGTGGAAGGGCAAACCCAACGTCTCCGAGAGTACCAGGGGACTTATCGCGGTGGCGAGACCGGGAAAAGATGCTCACTTTGCGGACACGTCGCGACGAAGGCAGCCGTCCCCTTTTTATTCTGCTCCTCGTCTATGGATCCTCTCTTGCGGAAGCAGGTAAGGGCGAGAGGCATCCTGATCGTTACAACAATTGTGACAAACACATTCCCGATGTTCCTATGTGAAAATAATAACAATAATTGATAATTATTAACCATTTAAATTGAATGTAATTATATATTTTGCGGGAATAATGAGTAATGTGTATATTTTGTCGATTCGTTAAATGACCCTGGGAGAATCAATGAGGTGTTCAGATCGCTTAAAGAATTTTGCAAATGTGACTTTACCTGTGGCTTTCCCGTCCGTAAAGGAAGGTGCAGGGTGCACTAGAGCCACGGCCTCTTACATGCATTTAGATTCAAACAGGGCCGATGCGATTCATCTCGGATCCAAACTGCGCCCAGGTGCTGGGTGCCCAAACTTCCGCGGCGCCTGTGCACGATTGACTGACGCCCTTCACGCTGCTTCTGCTTCAGCGAGCGCTCATTCAGCTCCTGCGGGACTCCTTTAAGTTTTACCTGTGTCAAAATATACAGGACTTTAATAATGTGCATTTGAACATAGCGACAAAAAACTCACGTCGGGTGACTTATAGTCACACAGATACCCGTAGAAATCGATATGGCATTTTTCTTTATCAAATGAACAATTTTGGACAAAACAATTTTTCACGACTCAGTTATTGAAGCGCTTCGCTGGTTTGGGATAAATGGGGCTGCAAATATTGTGAGGCCAAATATTGTAAATCCGACATACTAGTTTCACGTGCCGTCGCTGAAATACAGGAAGAGCTGTGACTCCGACTCTACATTCATTAGGCAGTTTGAAACGTATATGGACAATGTTATAACAGTACAGTATGTGTCACAAAACAGGACATTTTGCTAAAACTGTAGACCGTTAGGCATAGTTTATATCAGTTATATCGCTTATTAAAATAAAAATTGTTACCATTAATTTGCAGATAATTGAACAATAGTGAAATTAACTGCATTCAGGAACTTTTAGCAATTTTGGGTCCTGCTGATAGGCCTGTAATACACTCCAAGATATAGACTCTTTGCTGGCGTTTGGTAGAAAGTTTGGATTATCTACAAAGAGTGGTACTGCGGCACTGAAAATCCTGCCTCTTTTAATGACACAAAAAAGCACAGGAAGAAGCTGCGACTTTGTGCCGTGGGTCGCTTCTTACAAGCAGAGAAGAAAGAGCCCCCCTGCTGAGCAGAGAGTAATTAAGGTTTCGCTCAGTGCCTCCCCGGCCCCTGATAAAATCAGAAAAGAAGGGAATATCATTTCAAAAGTAAAGAAAGAAGCAGAACTGCCAAAGTGCGCCCAAGTCCCCAAAGGAAACAACACATGGCGCATTAAAACCTCCATTCTAAATATAGTCGGCTCTCATTTTTAGCCAACTTTGTCGGTGGTGGTGTCGTTTTTTATTCGAGGATTTTGCAATATTATGTAACCGTTTTCTCTTCAATTTGTAGCCCATACACTACATCATAGCTTTATTAATATTGTAACAACATTATGTTGCTACTCACATTCTGTGCTTAAGATATTTTCTTCGATATTCGTTTATTTAAGCGGATGCTGGTCTGTCCAAAGCGACATACGAGTGAGGATCAGGGAGCCGGGTCAGACTGTCCCTGGAGCAATTGGGGTTAATGGTCTTGCTCAAGGGCCCAGTGCTGATATGATTACTCTGCCGGGCCTCAGGATTTGAATCAGTGACTTTCCGATCACGGGCACCTAACCAGAGAGCCACACACTGCGTTTTTTTGTATCTGCTTTTATATTTTTAAAAACTCCTATATGCTGTTAGTACAACACTAATCATGTAGCTTTTAACTTAAAAATGAATGAAAGATATATGGAGATTGTATATATTACATGCATAAAATCTTACATGTGTTTTTGTGTACAGTAGGGTTTTTAGCACAGACAAGCTAGAAATGTCATCATGCTAATAATGGGGTGAGACGGGTCTCCTACTGGGAGGAAGTCAGTGACTGGAGCAAGCTGTTGGGTCTGTAACCTGCAGGATACCGAACGTCCGCACTGACAACCGTCAGTGAAGGGGGGAGGGCTGCCTTAAATCACACGACCAACAGCCACCTCAGTATAAACAGGTCATTGTCAGTATCAGCTTTCATCTCTCAACCGGTGTTCAGTAGACAGTGGGATCTTGCTGTGTCAACTTACAAAATGTGTATCTGTGAGTAACTAGTCTGGTATATCCCTATTGGATAAGCCATTGGACGATGGAGAACACTAAATTGGTCAACATTCATTGTTATTTACCTGGGGAGTAACTTTCCACTGTTTGTAAAGACGAGATGAACAAAATATAAACTAATATGCAATGCTTTGCCGTTTTTCTTTCCATCTATCAAAAAGTACTGAAAAAGTTTTTCATAAGATGCTGAAATGAGTATTTCCAAGGCAACACCGTCATAACTTGTTCAAGTAAATGCATTTAGAAATCAAGGGACCTGCGATTGTTTTGACAGCCTTCCCCAGTTGGTGCCAGTGTGCTATGGAGTATGACCTTGGCAGTCCTGCGTAAACAGCAATGCTTTACGCTAAGTCATGTGCGAGCTTCGCTTGCCCCGCAATCAGATCGTCACAGAAGGGAACTTTCTGATGGCTTAATGGATTAAGGTTTCTGCTGGAAGAGAACAAAGACTGTACAGACTTGGAGGCTGAGCATGAGGCTGAGCAGTGTGCACTGCACCATTTAGCATGGCGCTATCACAATTTCCTGGATGCGATGACAAACAGCAAAACGGTGTATTACAGCATATCTTGGACAGCTAAATACATGCACACATATTTTGTGCTGTATGTATACCTGTCCTATACCACCCACCCCCCCAATCATCCCATCCGGGATCTATCTTCAGTCCTTGCATAGACATCCCAGAAAAGCTGCTTGTGTTTATTAAAAATGGAGTGGAGAGACAGCTCTGAAATACTAGCATGTGAAAATGAAAAATAATGAATACCATTGTGGGTAGGGAGACTGGAATCCTGCCCATTGTTGAACTACCTTCAGCGTGAGGTATTGGGGGGATGAGCGGGGGGATGTAGCATAGTCCCAGTTTCTCCAGTGCCCTGCCCACAGCTCAGTGAACAGAAATCCCGAAAGAGAAGATTAAGAGCAGTGTGATCATAGGTGTTGCAATACTCTTCCAGGTTCCTCTATACCCTCATTAGCAGATTCCTTTTCTCTGTCATTCTCTCTTTCTCGCTCTCTCCATCTCATTTTCATCCCTGTCTCTCTCTGTCTGTCTGTCAGTGTTTAGGATGTGCTGAGCTCAGATTTCTTGCCTGGCGCTCTGCGCTCCATGTTGACATACGCATTAATTACCACGGCTGCCAGGAAGAACGCGTTCGCCTCGCCACACTGTCAGCCTGCAGTTCTTCTCAGGAGGAGGAGGGATATCAAAGGAATGTCCCTCCTTAAAAGCGGGACGAGGTGGGGCACTTCTTCAGTTGCTGCTTCAGAAGAAGGACTCGTGTTGTAGAAAAAAGAGAGCGGCAGGAGAAGGAGAGGTGAAGCTGAAACAAAGTGACAATGCAAATCACAGGCCTGTGGGGTGTTGCCGCCCGATTGTGGGGCAGTTTTTTCTGCAAAATTACACAGTTGAATATGTTGGGCACTTCTGAGAAATAGCACTGAAGTAATAATACTGGTAAAAATAATTAAAGGTTCCTGGATACACAAAAAAAAAACCTCTAAGAAAGCAGCAATCAGATAACTAAATATTTTTAGCCTGGGCTATGCAAGCTGTTGTTTTCACCATCAGAAGCGTTTGGACTAACTGCTGTGAGGCCCTGTTATATTTGACTGGGCTTCAGAGTAAAAGTCTTCTAGACAGAAGTAGTTGGAAATAGTCAGATAAACTACCCCAAGAAAATTGTAAAAAATAGTCTTTTGTCAAAAAAAACGTGAAAAAGAGATAGAGTGGGATAAATAGCAAAAAGTATGAAAGTGTAGTGCAGCTGGGGCAGACAGGAGAGATGTGGAGACAGCGAGAGATGTACGGACTTTCATGTACAGAGAGGAATATAAAGACAGATGAGCTGTGTTGAAACATTCTGAGAGGCGAGAAAACCAACAGAAAGACGCTGACAAGCGGTGTTAGGCAGAACCTGCGGGCAGATAGACAGGCAGGAACTCACAGACGGAAGCTGGAGCGATGCTTCAGATGGATAAGACAGCCTGGAATTAAAAAGACAAGAAGACTGGACTGGCAGACATAGAGCCCTTCAGAAAGGTCAGACTAATGTAAGATAGTAAGCGCCTCGCACAAGTAGATCAGCATGAAATCAGATATGGTCCCTTAGACAGATCAGTTTGGAGGCAGACAGCACTTTAATCAGGTCAGTATGGAGTCAGACAAACAGTGCTTGAGACAGGTCAACACAGAGTCAGACAGTGCTTTAGACAGGTCAGTATGGAGTCAGACAGTGCTTGAGACAGGTCAGTATGGAGTCAGACAAACAGTGCTTGAGACAGGTCAACATAGAGTCAGACAGTGCTTGAGACAGGTCAGTATGGAGTCAGACAAACAGTGCTTGAGACAGGTCAACATAGAGTCAGACAGTGCTTGAGACAGGTCGATAGGAAATCAGACTGACAGTGCTTCAGACTGGTTCTGCACACAGACAGAAAAGCTGTGCTGTTTACAGATGCCAGTGATACGGAGAGACAGGTTGTGCTGTTTATAGGCACAGGTACTGTAGGCAGACAGTGGAGTGGATTGCAGAGAGACCTGGAGTGCAGGCCCTGGCTCCACAGCTTTGCCCTGAGCGCAGCAGTGCATTAGTTTAACGGCTGCCCAGGGAGCGTCGCGGTAGCTGGGGAGGAGATCACCAGTGTGCCGTTTGCCTCTGCACTCCATTATTCATGGCTGCAAAGTGGCCGTGGTTAATATTTTAGAAGCGTTTATAATGCCTGCCCCCCCCCCCCACGCCCCCCCATAGGGCACAGTGGGAGTGGACTGCTTCAGGAGTTTGGGTAAAGGCCTGCTGTGACAAGGTCCGAACAA